CAGAGACGGAATGTACCTGAAAACAAATTTAGTTTCTTTCTTCAGAAAGATTTTGATGATTGCATAGCCAAATTCAATAATAAGTCACTCAAAGTTTGCTATCATTATGTACCCTCCAAACTGTAGATGTAGATTTGTGTGTGCATGAAACTAAAAGCAATCAATTTTTCCTGAAGACTGATAAATATCTTAGGAGGAAAAAGAAAAGCTAAATTCTTGACGTCTATAGCACCTATCGCCTAGAATTTGGTTTGATAAAATCACAAACCTGGGGTTCACTTTGTCAAGCCCGAGAACCAGAGGGACCAAGAGAAGAATTGGCGGCCACTCAGTGTCCCCTTCTGAAAATTCCAAACAAGTTTTGGTGACATCTTCAATACAGAGAATTGGAGCTCCACCTCTCTCTCCATCTTCACTGCCAGAAACGATATGAACAGCCATGGAAAACGACTTGTGTTTAACATCAGTTTCTTCTTTGTTCTTCCGAGCTAATGATTCCCATGATCGACAAACAGCATATGGTCCTACCCATGACCCAGCAGCCAGGCCATAGGATTCTCCAGCTAGTATAAGATTGTGAATCGAGAATGCTGAAGCCTCAGTATCACCAAAAAGTTCTAAGATCTCTAAGTATTTCTCATTCGGAGGCTGCATTTTCAAACCAAAGAAGCTCATTTTAAATGACCTGGATTCATGATCAACCAGATTTATTTATCCTAGTTGTTATATATTCAGTTACTAGAACATATACTGGATAAACAGCTAACCTCGGAATCCTTTTTCCTCCAAGACCTTCCCAGCCTTTGGAATAGCAACGCCTGTTAAAGATACAGAATTTTAGACCATGCATTAAGAAATCTGAAGCCTCCAGCAAAAGGATAGTAATAACTACCTGTGCAAAGAGCATCTGGCCACTTCGAAGCATGCAACCCCAGTTTACATCACTAGTATAAGTTGTGTCTCCAATAGGCTCAAAACCTGTAAATAACACAGTGAGTATTCTGTGAACAGTTTTACGCTTGTTTGAGTTTTGGAGAGGGGATTATACAAACCTCTACGATATGTCATTAGTATTAAGGATGAAAAATCTTGTCTGAATGCAGCCAATACACGGCCAGCATCTGCTTCTTCGAAGGATTCAGCCTCTGAGATTTTATAACAGACACCCAGGAGCCATATCTCACTTGTACTGCTGGAAATACCCGTCCTACTCGGCCCTAATACACGGTCTTGAAATCTCCTAATTGCCCCACTTGCCATAGAAGCTGTTTTTAAAATAACTGTCCAACTATTATGTGTAGTGCAAACTTGCTTATGCTCGGAAGTTGAAGCTTCCCTACACGGTTGAGAAACTGGGGAGGAAGACTCAACCACATCCGAGCATAACGTCAAGTTTGACTTGTCGTCACTAGACGGTGAATCTGAAACTAGAGATGTCGGGGATATATCACGCTTTTCACTTGTGCATGATGAAGAACATTTTGAAGGAACAAATCTATCACATATAGCCTTCATTACCTAGTGATTAAGTACCAAATGCAACATGTCTGTCTCATAGAAGAAAACTAATACTCAGAATCTTCCTTCCTTTGTCTGCAATAAGAAGCATCAGAGATAAAAATAGATCAGGCTAAAATTGAACAGAGTTACCTCTAAGAATTAGTCCAAAGTGAGCTAATGCATTATCTTCTAAAATCCATAATCAGAAACCAACAAAACTTCAACAGGTTTATATCAGCCCCAAATCTTTCTTAACTCGAATTTAATCCCTAAGTTTGTTCTCACTAATTTAGTCTCACATTTCAATACGCCCCAAATCTTTCTTAACTCGAATTTAGGAATCAAAGCTGAACACAACGATTAAAGATAAAGGTACTCGATTCCGATATGCAAAGTCTCAAAAATGAACAAATCCACAGCAGCAATAGAAATTCGAGACCAAATCATGCAATAACTCAAAGAACTCTGACGCAATTTCTCCAGGGCGGATCTACAGTAATCTCAATTGATCAATCAGTCAACTATAAAATTGGCAACTAAATTCTCTCGTATATACACCAGAAAGCATAAGATTCAAAAGGAACAAGGCTAAGAGCACGATTATCCACTAAACAAACGCAGAGAGTTTCATAATCCGATCCAGGGAACGAAATTTTCACAACTTTTCGAATTTCTAGCAGAGTATAAAGATAGATCACCTGAAAAAAATACAAATCGGATCGTTGAGGCTGACTTGATACGACGGAGATACGACCTCCGGCGACGAAGACGAGAACGAGAGTGCGAATTAACGGAGACGAAGTTTGAATTGCGAAAGATCGATTTCGTGTAACCTTACGAAATAAAAAGTTTCGTGTTCTCTCTCTCTTCTCTATTTTACGTAATTATCTTAAGCTTCGAATATGGATGATTACATTTTGAATTAAAAATTAAAATAGCGCATTACCATAATCTCTCTGGGTTTGATAATGTACAGTTTGTACATAATTTACGGATTAAGTATTACTAATATTTAATATTAGGATTCAGGCTAGTGTAATAATAATCTATCAAAAAAAGATTAAAAAAAAAAACAAAAAAACTCTATAAATGATTGACGGCGTATGCCATTAAAGAATTGTATATTTTCTTCTTATTGTTATGTTAACTTTTCTTCTTTTTGTTTTTGGATTTTGTTATGTTAACTTTTTTGTTATGTTAACTTTTTTGATCGCCAAGTTGTGGGATAAGGCAACTAGAACTTGTATATATTCTCTATTACTCATTTTTATATAAAGTAACTTTGTTAAAAAAGAAGAAGACGCAAGAAAGAGTTAGAGAGACAAGTTTTGGTGTGTTAGAAGAAACAACATGGCTTTTGGTCTACAATCATCGGAATAGTTGTATTCGTGATTTTTGTTATCGTCCTCATCTTGTCTATTGCATATTGTCACTATACCACCAAAAAACGTATTGAACCTTCCAGTACTAATGCGTAACTTTTATCATGAAGCAACTATTTCTTATTTTTGATAGATTATCAATTATTTATTTTAGGTTAGTAGGTAACCTATATAATATAGCATATCAATATAGCTATTTCGCTATTTAAACAATTATGTATGTTTTTTTTTCTTTTAGATTTATGATATTGTAAGCTTATTATTATTTATATTTAAATGATATTTCAATAATATTGGCATATGTTGAAATCTCCGACTTTTTATTTCTCCATTCGCAGTATTATTTGTCATTAATTCGTACTTGTCAAATGTATCAGTGTGTTTGATTAAATAAGCAAACACCAAAAAAAAAAAAAAAAACTCTTATTCTTCTTCACAAAGTCTATTGTAAATTTGATACAAAGTTTAGGCTAATAACATCGTTTCACAAAAAAAAAAAAAAAAGTTTAGGCTAATAACATCAACATTACTACAATGTTAGATGACTTCCTTCTATTTCATTTTTTTCAGTCATTATTTCAAGGACTAACTTTTCTTGAATATAATGAAAGAAATAAGTCTTGCGAATTAATTGCTTTGAAATCCTCTTATACTTTGATTTTTGCTAAATCATTAACAATACTAAGAACCAAACCGGAATTAGAATCGGTCAATACCAAATCGAAGTTTGCGTAAATCACTAATCAGCAACTCAATGATATAGCAGCAAACCAGAGTTAAACCAGAGACTTAAACCAAATACAGCAAATCGAATTTTGTTCAATAATAATAGTGAATAAAAAAATTCCTTCTTCGTTGGATATCTTGATATACAGAATATCAAGAAATATACATAATTTCGCTTATGACTTTAAAGGATTGTATATATCCATCATAGTGTTATGTTAACTCTTCTTATTTTTGTATTTCGATTTTGGTATGTTAACTTTTTTTGGTTATTTTAATTTTGATTCGCCAAATTGTGGAGATAAAGCAATTATGATTTGTATATATACTCTATTACTCTTGGTATGCAAAAATAACCTTGTTAGAAAGAAGAAGACACAAGAAAAAAGTTAGAGAACAAGTTTTGGTGTGTTGAAGAAACAAAATGGAGGAGAAATTTGGTCTACTCCAACTCCTCGGAACAATTGGATTCGTGATTTTTGTTATCATAATCATTTTCTTACTTGTATGTAGTCGGTATACCGCCGACCGAGGACGGGTTGCACCATCCAATTCTAATGCATAACTTTTTATCATGTTGGAACTATTTTTTTTTTAATTAATTAACAATTATTTATTTAGGTTAGTATGTAGCCTATATAATAGCATATCAATATAGTTATTTTGCTATTTTTTTTTTACGTCTAGATTTATTATTTATTGCAAATTATGAGAACTGTTACATAGACGATTCTACAACGGACAATTCCTTCCGACCCTTATTAGATCCACGACAAACGACACTTCATTCTCCACGCTCTTGACGGACACCTTCAATGATCCATGACCTGACGACACTTCTCTCTCGGCGTAGAATCCTGGCGAACGGCTATAATTGTACTTCGCTGGAGATCTCCTGCACACTTGCCTCATTTAATCTGCAAATTTATTAATAAATCGCAATATCTGGGACTCGAACCCCAAACCTCTTGGTGTAGAAGCATTAATTAACTCTTAGTCAACCAATGGACCAAGGGGGCTTCCACTGTTATTTTGCTATTTAAACAATTTTTATTTATTTATTTATAGATTTCATGATATTGTAACCCTGTTACTATTCATATAATTATAGGATATTTCAATACTTTTGTCATTCGCTGAAATCTCCGACTTTTTGTTTTTCCATTGGCAGTGTAATTTTGTCACCAAATAAATTAAACCGGCGACTTAAACCAAATAAATTAAACCAGCGACTTAAACCAAATAAAGCAAATCGAATATATTGTTCAATAACAATAGTGAATAAAAAATTCTTCTTGCGTTGAATATCTTTGATATACAGAATATCCAATTTACGGTAAAAAAAAAGTAATTATTTTGTTACTAATTGTGAATGATGTAATGTTCTGGAATAAATTCTAATAAATTAATGATTCGACGTAATTATTTTGTTACCAAATAAATGGGTTTGATTGTATTGTGCCAGTCCAATAATCGAAAACCCATATCTGTTTTAAACGGTTTATTGGAAAGAAATCGATATTACTATTTTACCCTTTTAAGCCGATTTATTGCCTTTTGCGCAGAAGCATTTCAAAATCCACAAAAGGAAAAACAGCAACTGCCGCTCTTTCTCCGTTACGTTTTTTCACCCTCTGCAAATCGGATCGCCACTACTAATTCATCATCATCTTCTTCTTCTTCTCTTCAACTATTAGGGTTTTGAAAAGTTTCAACATCAAAGTTAGAACTTTCCCAATTAATCCGGTGTATATTGCCATGTCTTCCTCCAAGAAGGTTACGTTCGATCAAAATCTTCAGTTCTTTTCTTTATGACTTTATGTTTTCGTATGATCTTATTTTTCTCTGATTTTAGGGTTCCGATCGGAATCAAATCAGGAAATCGTTGAGGAAGTTGAAAAAGCAGATTGGGGAATTGGAGAAACTTGAATCTCCTCCGGAGCCGTTGAATAAAGGGAAGCCTATCTTCATCAAGCGCAGTATCCTTTTCTATTGTTGCATAAGATGCAATTTTTTTTTGTTTTACTTTTCCACAAATCTTATTTGTTTTCACATGAGCGAGCCTGGTTTTAAGATATATACTTGAAGAAGAAATTCAAAAAGAGAGTTAAAGATCATGGCATATTCTGTTCTTGCTCCTTGGATCCTGGCTCTTCAACTATTTGTGGCAGTGATTGCAATTGTGGGTATGTTCCAAATACTCGTCTGACCAAAGATTCTTGTCTGCATTGGTGACTTCTGATTGTTGACGTTGAAGTTTGTTGTTTCCTTGATGTATATAGGATTCTACTCTCAAGCTGTTCTTCTAGTTGCAAATGCAGTAGTGAATGCACCAACAAGCCGTTCCAACAACGACATATCAAGAAGATGAAGTTAGTTCAGGTTGGTTTATTATTACAGAGTTGGCTTACAAAGATTGCATTTTTTGGTTTAGTTGAATAAGTTGTTTCTTGTAGACAGAGAAATGTGGATATGGGATTGTAGCAGATGAAGATATCAATTCAGGAGAGTTTATCATTGAATATGTTGGGGAAGGTGATGTGATTACATTTGGTTACTCATATATAGTTGTGATTACTCTGCTTTTTTATCTATCTTCTTATTTCCATTTCTTATTGTAGTTATTGACGAAAAGATTTGTGAAGAAAGGCTTTGGAAGCTGAATCATAAGGTCGAGAAAAATTTCTATTTGTGTCAGATTAACTGGAACATGGTGATTGATGCCACTCATAAGGGTAATAAATCAAGATACATCAATCACAGCTGCAACCCTAATACAGAGATGCAGAAATGGTTTGTTTATAACTTATTATCCATCTTCTCACTTTTCTGATGTTCAAAACAGATGATCAGAGTTATATAATTATGAATCTCTTTGTTTCCATTTAGGATAATTGATGGAGAGACAAGAATCGGCATATTTGCTACCCGTTTCATAAACAAAGGCGAGCAGTTGACATACGATTACCAGTAAGAACATTTCCTTGCATCACAATTCACATCAATAAAGTATTTGATAGTAAATTTTAAGTTGTGATACTAAGAAACATAGCAGGTTTGTTCAGTTTGGTGCAGATCAAGATTGCTACTGTGGTGCAGTGTGTTGCAGAAAAAAGCTAGGTGCAAAACCTTGCAAAACTAAGAGGACAACCTCGGAAGAAGCTGTGAAACCAGTGGCATGTAAAGTAACATGGAAAACGCCCAAGGTAAAATTGAACTTTTCCTTACTTTTTAGTCATCCTGTGATTTGGCATGTTAAACAGTAACCTATCATTTCAAACATATGGTTAGGGAACTCGAGGGAGACGCATTGCCGGTTAGTATGAATTATTTGGATCTATTTTCGACAAGCCAATTTGGATGCGTCAGGAAAAGCTTGGAACAACATTAGCCAGAGGAAAATATGTTGCCGGGATTGCATTGGTGCGGTGATCTGGTTAGCACGTCCTATGAACCAGAAGTATAACTATCTTTCTTTTTCCTCGATCTGCCAATTTCTTCCACATCTAAGAACAATATTCCAAGCTGTTGTCATTAAGGGGCAGTTTTTGACAGTAGTAGTTGACATTTTCAGGTGTTTTGGAATCATTACACAATATGATGAGTTTTCAAGAAAGCACTTGGTATCTATCAACTTGACTTATGCCCAACTCTGTTTTTCACCTTCCATCTCGTTTTACGAAGTCTAAAGAATTAACATTATCTTTGTCCAGGTCATGTATGAGGATGGTGTTACCGAGATTATCGACATGTGCAGAGAAGTTTGGATGATTGTAACTGCTTGATATTGCTCCACAGTCTGATTACATTCCCTATATATATGATTACACTTGAAATGATGATCTCTTGTAGTAACCAACCAAACCGTGTCGGTTGGTAGGTAGTTTTAGACATTATTGTTGTATGTATCCAACTCGAATCAGTAGTTCAGTGCATTGTATGTGGAATCTTTGGACCAAAGAATGAAAAAAGTGTTTTGGATTTTAAACCGGGGTTTGGTTACTTAAGAGACAAAAATCTCATACCCGGTTTATTAACTGACTACACAACTAATCACCCGGTTTGTTCTGTCTATAACTCGAGTATTTTAAGCACGTGATTCTCCTTGGCTGCAAAAGCTATATGGGTGCAATGCTATCACTAGGCTACTGTCCGTTGTAGCGCACGCGCCGGTGACCGATAGTGGATTGGCGTTACCGGTGGTAGGTGATGTGGGACCGTAGCTCACCTAACTAACCAAATTTTCTTTTTTCTTATACTTTAGTTGAGAAAATAAGAAAAATATGAAAACAAGTCTTTTTAAAGGAAAAGGATAAAATTACTATAATGGAAAAGATAAATTCCAAAAGTGGGGAAATATGTATTTAGCACAATAAAAAAGTTGGAGCAATGTGAGAAAAAAAAAATGTGATACCATAAGTTCTGTACTAAATTTCGATTAATTTTTTGAAAAAAATATATTTACTCTGATAAATATTTAATTATAAAAATCAAAAAAGATGTGTAAAAAAAAATAAAAATGTTGATAAATAATTTTATCTAAGTTTTACCGGTTAGCACCAAAGTTGTTGGATCTCTCGTCATTTTGAGAGTTTAGTATAAAAGAGTGAGTAAAGGAACCAGAGAGACCAAACTTGCCTCTCCACCACCACTTTCCGAATCTGGATTTGGATTTGGATCTCATTTCGATTCGACAATGAAGGTGGTTGATAAGATCAAATCCGTGACGGAGCAAGGCCAAACAGCTTTCTCCTTCGAGTTTTTCCCACCCAAGACGGAGGATGGCGTCGAGAATCTCTTTGAACGAATGGATCGATTGGTCTCTTATGGACCTACCTTCTGCGATATCACTTGGGGTGCCGGAGGATCCACCGCCGATCTCACTCTCGAGATCGCTTCTAGGATGCAGAATGTTATCTGCGTCGAGACTATGATGCATCTCACTTGTACCAACATGCCGATTGAGAAGATTGACCACGCGCTTGAGACGATTAGATCTAATGGAATTCAAAATGTGCTTGCGCTTAGAGGAGATCCGCCTCATGGACAAGATAAATTTGTTCAGGTCGAAGGAGGATTTGCTTGTGCTTTGGATCTGGTGAATCACATTCGAAGCAAGTATGGTGATTACTTTGGAATCACTGTTGCTGGTTATCCTGGTAATCAATTTTCGTTAATGGATTGTGTTAGTTGTTGTGATTTTGATCTCTAATTGGATTTGTGTGTTTTGAATCAGAGGCTCATCCGGATGTTATTGAAGCTAATGGACTTGCTACTCCTGAATCTTATCAGAGTGATCTTGCTTACCTGAAGAAAAAGGTTCAGATTTTTAAATCTTGGCTTTGCATTTTGTGTGTTGTCTTGATCTGATGGATTTAGTGAATTGTGGCTCGCTACAGGTTGATGCTGGAGCAGATTTGATTGTGACTCAGCTTTTCTATGATACTGATATATTCCTCAAATTTGTGAATGATTGTCGGCAAATCGGGATTAATTGTCCCATTGTCCCTGGAATTATGCCCATTTCCAACTACAAGGGCTTCTTGCGTATGGCTGGTTTCTGCAAGACCAAGGTACGTATGTTGTGACCTCTTACATTAGTGATGATATGGCTTGCTCTGTAGAAAAATGTCATCTTTGTGCTTAAAGGCTTTAAGATGAGATTGAGTTTACTGCATCTATCTAGTTGCTTGGTGATATATATAGAACCTTGGTGATGATGCCTTATGACTAATGTTTTGGGATATCATTTTTCTTCGATTAATATTCCACTCATGCTGTTATTGCTATAGATACCTGCTGAGCTCACTGCTGCCTTAGAGCCTATTAAGGATAATGACGAGGCTGTCAAAGCCTATGGTATTCACTTTGCAACAGAAATGTGCAAAAAGATTTTGGCCCATGGAATCACTACCCTTCATCTCTACACATTGAACGTGGACAAATCAGCTATTGGGATATTAATGGTTTCTTTCTCATTTCCTTCAAAATCGTTTTCTTTGTAGTAATATTTAACACAGTATTGTGTATACCAGAGAACTTAACAGTGGTGCTCAAATTGCAGAACCTTGGTTTGATTGATGAGTCAAAAATTTCTCGTTCTCTACCTTGGAGACGCCCTGCAAATGTTTTCCGTACTAAGGAAGATGTTCGCCCAATTTTCTGGTAACCTGCATTTTGTTTCTCTTGCTCTGATTATTATTCACAGATCTTTAACTTCAATTTGCCTAGGGAATAATACTGTTGCTTCTTCTTTATCTTTGCAGGGCAAATCGTCCAAAGAGCTATATATCTAGAACAAAGGGCTGGAATGACTTCCCACATGGACGTTGGGGTGATACACGCAGTGCATCATACAGTACACTTTCAGATTATCAGGTACCACAGATTTCATCAGTTTTTCTTCTTTATTTGCTTAAGATTGTATTTGCATATTGTTATTTAACCCTACCATTATCACTTGTAAGGAGATGCTTGCCATCTTCTTTCATTGATTAGTGCTGATATAAATGCATGCGTTGATAGTTCACACGCCCAAAAGCACGTGACAAAAAGCTTCAGCAAGAATGGGTTGTCCCGTTGAAAAGCATTGAAGATGTTCAAGAGGTAGTCTTTCCTTTAGGAACACTCATAGAGATTGTTTCAGTCTCCTTTTCTGCATACTCACTTGCACATTTTCTTGTCAAAACTTTCACAAATCAGAAATTCAAAGAGCTCTGCATTGGAAACTTAAAAAGCAGTCCATGGTCTGAATTAGATGGACTCCAGCCAGAGACAAAGATCATAAACGAGCAACTCGGGAAAATCAACTCCAACGGTTTCCTGACCATCAATAGCCAACCATCAGTCAATGCAGCCAAATCCGATTCCCCAGCTATTGGTAAGAAAACTCATACCTGTGATCACAAATCATACCATAACGTTTCAAAACAAAATTCCTATTTGACTTATGATTTATCTATCATTTCTTAATAACCTGTTAAAACCCTCTAGAGTTTCTGTTCTTAGCTTATCACATAATGTTAAATTGCATTGGGAATATCTACTTGGCTTATAACAAAAACATATAATTGCAATTGATACTTTGCAGGATGGGGTGGTCCTGGTGGTTATGTCTACCAGAAAGCTTATCTGGAGTTCTTCTGTTCAAAGGATAAGTTAGACACACTTGTGGAGAAATCCAAAGCTTTTCCTCTTATTACCTACATGGCCGTGAACAAAGCAGAGAATTGGGTATCAAACACCGATGAGTCCGATGTGAATGCAGTAACTTGGGGAGTGTTCCCAGCTAAGGAGGTTATTCAACCGACGATCGTGGATCCAGCCAGTTTCAAAGTCTGGAAAGACGAAGCGTTTGAGATTTGGTCAAGAAGCTGGGCTAAATTGTACCCAGAAGATGACCCTTCTAGAAAGTTGCTCGAGGAGGTAAAGAATCTTCTTCACTTTCCTTCTCTTCTTTTCATAGACCAGATTGGTTAAGCTGTAGTGATGATGGGATGATTTAATCGAATGTGCAGGTGAAGAACGGCTACTATTTGGTAAGCTTAGTGGACAACGATTACATCAATGGTGATATCTTTGCTGTCTTTGCTTGATGTCCGAGAAAACCAACGGCAAAGAGAAAACATTCGATTTCGCGATTTGTTTTGTACCTTTTAAAGTTATTTTTGATTCGTAATAACCTTATTTTGATGAATCAACAAAAACATCAGTTTGATTGCAATGAAAAAAATGGCCTTGGCGGTCTGTTCTTTCTCTCTTGTGACAAAACAACATCTTAGAACAGCTTTTAAAAGAAATCAAGAAATGTTGGCATTTCGTAAAGACTTGGAAGTAACAAGACCAGAAGATGTCCGCATCAAATGCTCCTTAAGCATCGAAACGCCAGACTCATCCGTCTTCAAAAGCGGTTGCACCGATTCCCACATCTTCTTCTTTTGAACCTGCAACAACAAAGAAAACACAGAACTTGAAAATGCCATGACTTACGACTTCATTACTGAAATGATTAGTGGTTTGCAAGCTAAGAGACCTTATTAGGAGGTGCAGGTTCAGGAAGCTGCTCGAGATCTTCTTCGTTACCAAACCACACTCTATCTCCAGGAACAGAGCCTTCTGGTGGAACAAGAAGCTCAACATTCTCATGAGCTGCGTCTGATGCAGCCAGAAGCATACCACATGACTTAACCCCTCTCATATTCCTCGGCTTCAGATTAGCCAGCACCACCACTGATGCACCCTGCACAGAGCCACAGTCTCGAAATTGAGCCACTGGTCAATCTAATGGGGAAAATTCCGTACGATTCTCATACAATCCGATTTCATAGGAACGATGAAGCTAACCTGCAGGAGATCAAGAGGAACATATTTGACGAGACCACTACAGATGATTCTAGGCTCAGCTTCACCGATGTCGACTTCTTCAACATACAGAGAATCAGCTTCTTCGTGTTGCCAAGCTTTCACAATTCTTCCTACTTTGATATCTAACAGATTCGCCGTCTCCTTCACATTTTCCTCCTCCTTGTGAGATTCGCTCTTCTTCTCCGATTCATCAGCTGAAACCGTCGTGCCGGCATCGGAAGCCGCCGTACAGAAAGTAGCAACTCGAGGCCAAGAGCTTCGATTACGCTGCTGATGGTTATAAACGGCGGAGACTCGAAGTGATGAGGAGATTGCCGGTACTGTCGTCCTCTTCGACGAATACGACAAGTAACGAGGGAATTCGCGACGGAGAGGAAGCGATGAGATTTGAACGGCGAGAAATCCAGCCTTCACTTTCAGACCACCGGAAAAAACAGCTATCGTCGCCGCCATGGCAATGCCTCGAGTAGCTCAAAAGTCTATTGGCTAAGATCGGATCTCTGTCCAGAGTTCTGGTCTCTTCTCTTTACCATATATATGTATTTAATATTTATATATGGTCTTGTTAAATTAGCTAAGGTAAAGAATTTATCCAAAGCAAGAAACTTTACCAATCAAATTTCTAGTAAGATTGATGAGCAAATTCATGTTCAAGGCAAATTCATGTTCAAGGCAAATACATAGTTTTTTTTTTAACAGAGGCATTGAAGCTTTTTATAAAAGGATTCAAAGCTTGTGTTAACGACGACAAAAGAAACAAGCAAGTGTACAATCTCAACAACAGTATGAGATAATAAAGCAAACAGAGCAAAAACAGAGGATCTGAATCAGTAGTCGTCTCCCTTGGAAAGAACCTCTTTGCAAGTAGGTCGCAGTAAAATGGTGTGTTCAAACTGTGAAACGTAGCTTCCCTTCACATCACACAGAGGAGGATACGGCTGAAATCAACAAAGAGCAAGATTTAAGCGTTTTTAGACCTCAGGATTGATCCGAGAAAAATGAATCATCATCTAGACTGTGGGTGTGAGAAATTACCTGAACAATGCCAGAATCACACAGATTCTTTAGAGCCATTAAGTATTTGGTTTCACCAATGCGGTCCAGATAGCGTCTGCAGAAGGCCAGAGTCGAGAAATTCTTGTTAATGGTTGCAAGGAGTTGTTTTGCTCTAGGCAACCTCAAGGGGACGTGCCTAGCGTCAAAGTTCTTCATGTAATGACTACATTCTAAGTCTTCTCTCACATATCCTTTCCCTGCAATAAAACAGAAACAAAGGATCGAAACATTAGTGAATCATAAAGATGCGGTAGCCTTTTCTTTCTATGGTTGAATGTCCAAATTTCTTTTACCGGTTGATCCAAATGTTTCGATGGCATAAAACTCGCCCTCTTCCATCTTTGTCTGCTCGCCTCCTTTAACGATAGGAACGGATTTCCCAGCATGTATCTGATAGGGTCCAATGCTATGCCCATTCAAGTTTCTGATACTTTTGACTGCCAAAAGGGCATAACATATTACGGTTTAGTATTACACTAACGTCAAAATGTGACATTGATGTAAGAGCGTAGATGTGACATTGGATATCAGTACCTTGGAAGACCTTTCCATTGATTTCAACCTCATAAGACTCCATGACCTCCTGAATTGCAGCACCGATATCACAGAGACGGACATCGATCCCAGCTTCCTGAACCAGCCAAAAAAAACCACCAAGGAGGTTAAGAGTAATAACCAAATAGTTCCTAACAAATCAAAGCCTGAACGAAATCAATTTCACACTGAAGAGTTTGGAAATTATAGAATTCCACTATAGAGACGAAAAAGACCACATGGATTAAGACAACATAATTAACCAAGCTGAATAGAACAAAACACTACAACATTGCTCCATCCTACTGGTAAATGTACATTCATAAAGCAATGCGTATTAGCAAAAAGGACATTCCGTACCTTGATACCGGTATACGTAGCTTCACGAGAGGCTGCTAAGAGAGGATCGAACATAGGGTTGAACGCAACTGTAAATGCACAGTCAATAATATGCCCTGCAAAAATAAGAGATGTTAATTTTTATCTGACAATTTGCATCAATGAAAAACAAAAGCAGAAAACAGATTCTGCCATCATACCATCAATATGTGTTCCAAAATCCAATTTCATAACATCGTCATACTGAAGTACAGTCTTATCTCCAGAGTTTGGTGTCCAATGAGCAGCGACCCTGAATGTTAAAAAGTCATTAGAGAAACATCACTAAAGAAGAAGAACAAAAAAAGTTGAAGGCACATGTCATAACCAACCAATTCAAAGAGCATCCTGTAGGGAATGCAATACCAGCTTGAAGACCATTCTCAGATATCAACTTACGAACAGTATTCTCTAGGGTCTCACATATATCAGTCATCAACATTCCAGGCTTCACTATGCTTCTGACATATTTACGAACCTGAAAAAGATGGCCAAAACGATCTTTCAGGCCGCTGCAAAAAAAAAGAGGCCACAAAAAAACTCTAATCGGTGGTCATTTAGTGAAAAAGAAGTGAACCTGGCGATGAACTTCTGCAGCTTGGCGAACAGAGTTGTATATTGGCTTTTCCAAACGCTCCAACTCTCTCTTCTCTTCAGATGTTGTTCTCCACAGATTCCTAAAAACAGAGATCAACGAAGAGTCTTGACATGAAGAGACTGAAAATCCAATAGATTCAAGAGTAGAGAAGGCAATAAAAGATATCCCTAAAAGCTGTCAACGAATGTAAAGAGAATGGTATGAAACTTACTCATCCTTATACTCTTGGATTTCACCTTCAGGAAACTCTCCAGATGGGAAGAGCTCAACGACAGGAATCGAAGGTGGATTAGTCTGTTGAGGGAGTTCCTTCTTCTTCCTATAACATAATCAAAACCATCATTAAAGCAAACACGAAAAAGTTACAATTCAGAAGAAACAAATAGACAAAAGAAACAAAAAAAAACATCTCTTACTTGCTTTTATTTTTCTTCTTCTTCTTCTTCGTTGAAGCCTCAGCTTCAAAAATCAAAAACAAAAGTCTTTTATTAATCAACCATTCTCAGAACAAAAAGATCAAATCGAAAACTTTGAAATCCTAAGACCAAGCTCAGATAGACTAATCACTGGAACATTCGTAAACTCCAAATCAATGACACAAAAGATCCATTTTTTCTGAAATTAAAGACGCAAAGACAAAACCATTTGATCAATCAGAATATTAATATATTCACCTTTGCTTCCTTCTTCTTCATCGTTGTCCTCTTTAGCATCTTCTGCGATCTCAAGCTTCTTCGAAAGCTCAGATTCCAATTGTTCATCTTTTCCATTAGAGGATTCAGCGCCGCCATTCTCCACCACGGGAGCTACAACAACAACAACATCAGGGCTTTCGCTCGCCATCTTCAAATTCGATTCTCACCTTAATAACAAAGCACTAACCAAAGAAAAAAACAAAAGTCGATGTTGAGAATCGCAAGAGACGAAGAAGAAGAAGAAGAAGAAGAAGTAAACCAGTCTTTCTCTTTTGTTTACCCTTTACTCTCACCTCCGATACTTTGTACGGCAAACCCTTGAGAGATTTTTTGAGAATTTGCAAAATGAGACAATTAGACTATATTATTTAATATTAAACCCCCTAATAGTATTTCGTTTCTTAATGGGCCTTACCAAGTTTTCTTTATGGGTCGGGCTTGGTTTCTTGTAAATATTCTCTAAACGAAAAAGGATTTATTTGCATCTTCTTGTTATGTTAACTTTCTTTCTTGTTTTTTTGATAAAATGTTAACTTTCTTTTTTGCTTTTGATTTTTTTGTTAAGTTAATTTTTTTTTTTTATGTCACTTTGATTGCCAAGTTGTGGAGATAAGGAAATTAGGACTTGTATATATACAAATAGAAAACCTTGTTAAAAAAGACACAAGAAAAAAGATAGCAAGAACAAGTTTTGGTGTGGTGAATAAACAACATGGAGTTCAGTCTTCCAATAATAGTCGTATTGGCCATAATTGTAGGCTTTTTGTTTGTCACAGTTATCTCTGTTGGTGTTTGGATTTACAATTCTTGTAAGCAAGCACGAGAAGACGCCCAGTTTGTTGATGTCAGGTCCATTTAGTTGTTTCGCCATTTCACAATTATGTTTTTTGTTTTGTTTTGCATGCTTTTATTTATTGGTTTAATGATATTGTAACCCTATGAAATGTTTTCTCAATTATTTTATCATTGTGTTCTGAAATCTACAGAATTATGTTGTTACTCCTCTGACCTCTCAATCACATTATCACATCACGCAACAAACTAATTAAACCAATCAAAAAAACAAACTAGTCTTCTTCACACAAAAAAAAAAAAAAAAACCGAACAAACAAAGACCTTCAAAATCGT